CCCACGAATTCTCTTTACATCTCACATTGTCCTGGCCACTAAGGAGGTGGTGGCTCTCGGTTATCAGTGCATGTCCCAGCCCTCAGGGCTGGCTGCACCCCCAGTTTCCAATTCAGGAGGTCTAGGAGAGACACCCCAGGGCAGTCTCCGTGCAGGCAGAGGTAACGCTGATTTCGCCAGCCCGGGGTCACTCAGCTGGGCCATGAGACAAGGCCGTGGGGACAGAGAGGTGCCGCCGAGTGAGACAGGCGGCTGAAGCAGCAGCTAGAGAAACCGCCTTCATCTCCGTTTTTTAAAATGCATGCCTGGGGTAGAGGGTAGGCATCCATGGCCACAGCAGAAGATGAGGCAAGTGATCATATTTTTCTCCTCACTTTTCTGTTGGACGATTACTTTCTGATAAGCAGCTAGAGAAGAATAAAACAGACAAAATGAAGACAAAAGGAGAAATGCCCAAATTAAGGCTTGGGAAATGAGATGGGCAGAATGACAAGTTTAAGAACAGGTTTTATGAAGCAACCAGCAAAACTGGTTAAATGGCGAACATCCCTCTACTCAGCTCTGGGAGGGTATTCTGAAAGGTGCAGATGAGGGTGCAGGAGCTCCTCTGGCCTCCACGGGGAAGTCATGCTCACATCCCGACCCATGGGGACGGCTGGTGCTTTTCCCAGGCGGAGACAGGACTCTGTGCAAGAGACTCCACCAAGGGGGACAGGGGCCCTACGAGCGGGCCGTGATGTCGAGTACCGCCACCTGTGTGCACCTGCGACTGTGGAAGTTCCCCGACTCACCTGCCCCATCACCTCTCACTCTGGACCAGCCATTTCTCGGCCCATGCCTCTGCTTCTGCTCTGAGGCTCTTCACATCGGCCTGAGAAAGCCACATGCTCCTTACTGGCTCCATTACAAACTTAAGAATCCCAGCAGCTGTTGGGTCCTTCCATCGCTCAAGAACTGATGAGGCTGAATTGTTCGGCGAATCCTCTCCAACTCCGGCCATGCTGTGCATCCCTCTCCCCACCTGAATGACTGTTATCACTGGCTTCTCCCCCACCAGTCAGCACTGCTCTCTTCCCGCAGTGCCTCCATCCCAGAAGCTCACAGATGTTTCCCAAGTGAGCATGTCCCTCCTCCACACGCTACGGGAAGGCAGGGAATAAACGCACTACGGAGCGAGAGCGGGACACACCGGCTGATGGACTGAGAACCGTCCACATGTCCAGAGCCAGGGAGCCACGCCCTACTGCACACAGCAGCTCTTCCCCCGGTCACCCCGGTGATCTGAAATGACTGAGGGATGACTGTGGAACTCATTCTTCCACAGACTGCAGCTTCTCCTTTATAAACTAGGGCCCTCTCTTCTTTTATGAAAAGCATGAATAATTTTATAATTTTCTCACCAGAAACAAAATCAATAAAATCCTCTGCCCTCATCCCTGCTGCTGTCCTGATGCTTTGGGCTCCCTCCCAACCCTCGGCCCCACTGTCCTTCCCCTCATCCCCTACCTTCCATCTCCCTTTGCATCTGACTCCCCTGGAACAAATCAAAGACAATGATTCTCCTGTTGCTAAATCCACTCGTCTCTTTTCATTTTTCTCCCCAACGACCTCCAAAGCGCCAGCAGGCTGCGGACCTCCACCCAGCACTACGAGTGCCTTCCTCCTTCAGCCTTCCTTCCTGGCCCCTCTTCCGCCGCTTCAGCCCTTCGCTGCCAGCACTATGAGTTTCGACGAGGTTCCTGTCTCGTTCTGGCTCTTACTGTACATAAAAGGCCTGGGAGCTCTCACCTATGACCACGTTGGGGTAGCCAGTGGTCTTAAGTCATTAAATATCCCCCCTTTCCCTCCTTCTGCACTGGGGGTCGGCCTTACCCCCCTGGCCCACTCACCTTCTGTGAGGCCATTCCTTGCTCTGGCCAAGGAAAGGTGAGCTGAGCCACTCGGTATGTAACCCGCCCCGTCTGTGTCCTCGTACCCAGTGGTCCTGGAGGGCTCCCCGAGGGACCGTGAGGAGCAGAGCACCTGCCAACGTGTCAGACCCGTACTGAGGAGGAAAGCAGTCTTTGCCGTAGTGAGCCACTGCGGTTTTCCAGGCCGTGCGTGGCACAGCAGGACTCGGAGACAGGACTCTTTCATAAGGACGTATTTCCAGCCCCAATTACTCTGCTGTCGTGAGCACCACAGCGAAATCTCACTGGAGCACCGTGTCTGTCACCGCCCTACACGCACGCAGAACGGAGCGTGAGCAACAGTGCGCTTCCCCCTCAAGAAGAGACGCTCAGGGAAATGGTCTGACTGCCCTCTGAGATGTTTCCTTTGTGTTTCGGGTGGCCTTCCATGAAGTCCAAATGTTGGCTGGTTTAGTAAGCCACTGCAAGAACACGGAGAGGTCGTCTTTACATGATGTCTTCCTTTCTCTCTTTAGGGATCTGAGTATCACATAATCTTTTCATTCAACATGTATCAGTACTTCCCCTAGATAAATGACATCTGTTACTTTTTGCCCCCTGTAGCATGCTTATGTTTCCTGAATTTTTTTCTTACAAATCTGGCATTTGACACTTAGAAATATTTAATAACGTATGCAAATTTAGAGATTTTATTCTTCTCCTACAAGCATTCCTTAATTTACAAAAGCGCCTCCTCTCAAGCTGGCGCCCTCTGACCCGCAGTGCTTTCACGGAGAGGCACCACGCTAACACCACAGCCTCCTGCACCACCACGTCCCCGCTCCAAAACCAGATGCCACCACTTCCTGCGAGGGTGGTCGTGCAGATTCACAACGTCACATACCAAGTGCTCCGAACAGCACCTGCCACGTGTCGGCGCTCTGCCTGGGCCTCAGCTATCACAGGCACAGAGACTTCCGCCTGGGGCTGATGGAGCACCAGGAAGGTGCCAGCCACGGAGGAGCACGTCTGCTCCACCTGTGAGGCTGACGGGCGGCACAGCAAGGTTCTGAATCCAGTTCTGCAAAAAGTCGAAGATACCCTTCCAGTCATAGGTATGCTGTGTTACCACCAAGGACATTTAGAAGTTTTATTTCGTTTTAAAGGAGGGAGAGAGGAAGAGGAGGAGGGGGAGCGGAAGGAGGACTGCTGATATGGGCATGGAGCAGGTCTCCAGGCCACCCGGCGGGACAGCGTGCGGCGGGGTGCCCGCACAGCTAGGTGTACCCTCAGTATTTCTGGGCACTCGTTCACAAGGCACACTTCACTGTACAGGAGGACAGTAACGGTGGGTAACGTGTACTGAGCGGTAAGACACAGAATTCAGCCATTTGCCCAGGGTCACAGAGCTGGCTAGTGGCAATGCCCAGACTCTGACCGGGCAGCAAAGCCCCAGGCCAGAGTTCTTCACCTCCGGTATACACCTGGGAAAGGTCACCCAACTGCCTGTGTGTCCACGCCCAAAGGGAAGAGCATGGGAGCCCAAACCAAAGGTGTCTGCAGAGCGGTGAGGTGCGGACAGACAACGGGAGGGAAAAGAAAAGAAGCCACCCTGAAGAGTAAGCTGGGAGGAAACAGGAGTTGTGCTACATGACAGGATAACTTCTCAGATTTTAAAGCTTACTATTTAAAATAAAACTGACCCTCAAAGTCATCCTAAAAGTAAAATGATTAGAAATGATTAAGAAACAAAACATACCCTAGAACTTGTATATGCATAGGTAGAACATTCTAGTTTTGCTTATTAAAGAAAAAAATATCGCTATACTTCACAGAAAACATACACAAATATGCATGTAATTCTGTCAATAATTTGTTTAATAATTTATTTTTAAATAGGTTTAACTCTACTGAAAAAATAATGACTTGAGGTATATTCAATTTCCTCAAATGAGCACAAGGTTTGTAATAGACATCAACAGGGATAATTTTCCATGTTATCACAATCAGAGTTTAAACTAATACGAATGTGTCACACACAGACATTTGGAGTCCTAATGGAACACTACTTCACCGAGCTCCCTGGGATGACCCGTGTGGCCTGGCGGGGGCAGGGACACTCGCCAGCCAGCAAACGTGTCAGAACCACTCGGAAGCACTGCAAATGGGCACGGACATTCAAAGGGTAAGGGACGCTTTCCTAATGTTGGCAGGGTTAATTATTTTTTAAAATAGTATTTAGCTGAAAAAATGGAATATATCTTGTCCTTAAAAATATCTTTTCAAAGAATCATTTCATTTCTATTGCTTTGCAATAAAACTTCCTACAGAAGACAACCTTTTCTATTAGTTACTCACAAAGCAAGGTACGAATCCATGAGAGTGCTTTTTTTGTTCTACTCAGACACACCTCAGATTATATTTCAAATAAAAAGGAGTAAAATGCACAGTTAAAAAGAGCTTCTCATAAAGTGGACATCAGCACATTCTGTGACTTGACCATACAAAATGTATTAACCAAACAACAGCAAGCGAGAATTCAAACTAACTTTTTTTGTCCCTATGTAACTCGCATACACACGCTGCCTACCTAAACAGCAATTTCAGGAGTACAACAGAAATATGATCAAGTTAGGAATATAATCAAGCAGTCTTTAAAACTAAAACGTCTTTTCAACATGCTTATTTGAAATGAAAGTAACTTAAATGAGTTCAACAATGTCGCACTATCAAATACTGTAACATATTAATGTAGATTCTATTTTAAAAATGAGCCATCAACATAAAAAAAAGAATGCAAACCATAAAATAAACTGAAAAGAAGAGACCACAACTAACCATCAATTTATGGGCAAATTGTATATCCAGAAAACTTAAGAGACACAGAAACTTTGATTAACCAAGAAAAGATACTTTTGGAAGTTCTTCAGTATGAGCATGCTGTTACATAAATACAGAGAATTCACATCCGAAAACACCAACATTTTTGAAAGTCTGTTTTTAGGTTATTTATATTAAGCTAAAATGAACAAGCTCTTCAGGACTGCATGTACTTTCTCACTGAAAGGGAAAATCAAGTCATTAAAGCAGCTGCTCCTTAATCTAGCCTACCTTATTTTTTGGATTGGATGTGTTCATTACACTTCGAGTCTCTTTTCCAGTATAAATGACAACACCTATTACCGTACCTGCAAAAACACGAAAGTGGTCCTTACAGAGATGCCTCAAAGGGTAAGCACAGAGAGAACACTTTCTAATCAATTGTCTTGATGGAAAATATTATTCACTACTTAATTTTATATAAATTTATCTAACAGCACATTTGATTGCCTAGGTCAAGAAAGCCTAATGTCAACTTTCAAAATAAACTTTGAGGAACTCAACTTATTTCTTAAGCTATATAAATTTACCTCCATACAACATTAGAAAATGTACTGATAGTCTTTTCACTGTCAAGAGAAAGGGTGACATCGCTCGTCGGTTCACGTGTGCAAACACCACAGCTAAGTGGAGAGAGGCTGTGTTCTCAAGTGGTCAGATGCATCATGGGACCTTCACACCACGACTGCACCAGCTGAACCACTTTCCCTGAGTGAGACACTCGGGTACTACGAGGCGTAAGAGGCTCTGCTGACATCTGAGCACATACACAATTAAAACAGTAAGAGACAATTACATGAGTAACATTCGATGTTGGATTTAGATGTTATTAGCCTTTTTTACTCATGTCTCCTAAAAGTTTGGTTTTCTAAGTGTGTATGTCTATCAAACTTAAGGCAAAAGAATACTAAAATACCCCTAGAACAACCCTTGGATTACAAAGGCTCAGAGGCACTCACCTCTGTGATGTTAAATTAAAAACCACAGAAGTCTGTTTCTAAACTGCAGCTATGCATAATTTATATTCCCAGCTTTTGTAAATTCTGATGAGAAATGATTAAAGAAAGAAAATCACGTCCACAAATACTGAGACCAACACCACTGCAGAATTCACTATAATAATTATACAAAAACTCTTTGATGTCACATTAATGTCATGTGTGAAATTTAGTGCATCGTAAGTCAGGACCCATGGAATAAATGTGATCCTAGCGATCTCTTGGATTTATATGAACTGATAGCTGCAAATCATACGCATTAGATAAGGAACAGTTTCCTCCACGGGATGGTCAGGAAGACAGGGCTGCTCAGCGGTCCACTTCTGCAGAGGTTACACACATTTCTTTCAAAATAAGCACTTCCTTTCTTCCCCCCGTTTTAATTGTGAGCCGCTTGCAGAGCTGTGCGGTTGAATTTCCTGAGCCCCCTGAAAGCAGAGCAGCCCCTCCAGCACAGAGGGCAGCCCAAACTGCACAGATGCGACCTTTGTAGGGCAGTGCCCAGCAGAGCTGCAGATGGCAAGTCTGCACTCAGCGCTCAGGAAAGCACGGACTATAGAATGACCCGGTGCCGTAGAGGACCCCACCCCAAACACACACAGCTCTTGTGTCAGTCAAACAGTACATTCAATCTGACTGCGTCAGTAGTTTCTTCCTATTTTGCCAATTAAACTTAAACAAAATACAGGAGTGTCTCATGTGAAGTAAGCTCACTAATGTTAAAAAAGTACAAAAACAGAAGACAAACTGCAAAATTATTTTTAATATTAGCAGAACAAAGAGTCTCAGAAAAGACTTAAAAATTATTCAGGCTAGAAAACACTGTCCTAAAATCCGGACAAACTATTAGTAATGTTGATTCTAGGCTGGTATTGCAGTTACAAGTATCCAAAATGCAATCTGAGAAATGACAAGACTAAGAAAATGTAATGCATTCAGATACACATAGATAGCATATATAATCAGTATTGCAGGTTAAATATACTGTGCGTAAAGAGTATTTAACAGAATTCCTCCAGTGGTTTTCCTTGTATAATCTACTGAAGTCTGGTGAAGGCTCTCCTGTGTATTATCTCATCCCATTCTCACTAAAAAGGAATTAGAATAATGCATTTTTTTCCGAGTCTGTCATGCTTTTTAACTACTAAAATTAGTGAAGTCAGTATGGAGTATTTGCAGTATTCTCCATTCTTTTTGACAAAGGGCACCTCCTTACGGACTAGTACAGGCTGAAACACTGACCAAACCCTGTATGTATGACAAATGCACCTATACATACACATATCATATATATACATATGGCAAAGGGGTTACCCTGTTCATTTTGGAAACAAGACCTGAGAGGGAACACAACAGAGCACATTCATCAGAAAGTCTGACAGAGAGAACGTGTCAGAGACAGACAGACACACAGACCTTGAGAACGCCCAACCAACCGAAGTATTTCCTGTCACTTAGGCACCTGCTGGCTCCCGTGCAGAACTGCTTTCCTCGTGCCAGTCTCAACAAAACCCCGAGCATGGGCGGCCCACCCACTGCAGAGTTTTCGTGTGCCTGCAACAGATGGGGAGCGCAAAGACGGCCAGCAAAGACTACGGATTTGCCTCAGGAAAGCAACACGGAGAGACCGAGCCAGGGACATAGGCGACACTGCAACCTGCACCAGGTCTGGGTCCCGCCCAGCGAGCATGCCCTGCGTCCAGGGATGGCAGGGCGGCTGCACCCACTTCCCAGCGGCCAGGACTGCCCAGCCCTGAGACCCGAGGTGCAAGCAGCAGCAGGGTGCAGCGCTGCTGTGTCCTCCGCGGCCCCCACTGCCCTCCTGCACCACAGCTCGCGGGTCGCGTCCCTCAGGGGACTGCAGGGGGGCAGCTTCTCCTGCTTTCTCGAGGCCCATCGGGCAACCGCTCTGCTGCTGGAGCCTCACACACCATGCCCACTAAAGGGACAGTGTGATTTTAAGTTTCCGATCTGGCACGAGGACTAGTCTCATAAAGTATCATGCCAAAAGTTACCAAGAGAAATGAAACCACACAAAAACCAAAAAGAATATATATGTCCCAATTTTTTCAACATAAATCATCAAACTGCTATAAAAGTGTCCAAGTGTTTATTCTCATTTTCTGTATTTAACACAATCAGTACCAGCCCTGGACCCCTGTCTACGCACAGGCCCCCCTCTAGAGGGAGGGGTCACCCTAGACCGCCGTGGGCACACACGCCCAGCAGCCCTGCTCTGGGGCACATCTCTGCTTCCAGGCTCTTGGCAGTTTAAGATCAGAACACTCTCTTGTCCACTTATCAGTTGCAACGTGGCAGCTCTCTGGGACACTGACTCTGCTCTGGGAATGACGTTCACTGACCGACAAGGGGAAGAAGATGGAGGGCACCACAGGCAGTTGTGTTTGTCCCTTTTCAGGGACCCTTGGCCCTCGGATCCTCTGTGGTGTTAACGTGAGCCCTCATTCCCATGCACTCAGAACCCCAGGATGAGGGAGGAAGGCCCAAGTTCACTTCACCTAGGAGGCAACCTGAATTTAGTGGACACATATTTAAAAAATAAGATTTAAAAAAATTCTGTTCTTTCTTTCTCAACTTATAATCAAGTATAAAGAAGATATGAGCCCTTAAATTACTCCTGGAAACCCAAGGTCTTTCAAACATTGCTCAGGATACAGCAGTTTGATAATATACAGAGTCTAATAACTGCTCACATTATTAAGGTTTTTAAATAAAGTATGTGTTAAAATATTTAAAATTAATGAAAAGAGCTTGCATTTTTAAAATGTCCAAACACAAACTAAAATTAGAGGTGTCTTCCCTAAGTTTTTTTGAACGGATGGTTTTTGAGTATATAAATACTTTCTTGGAAGCTAAGAAGCCCGGGTGAACTGAATTCGACTCATCAGAGAAATGAGAAACAGTCATCAACGTGGCAAGCATATGTGACACCTAGATTTGTGTCTGTTCTGCCCGCGTATGCAACTAGGAGCTACCACGTGCCAAGGTCACCTGGAGAGTAGAGGACCGGAGGGGAAAAGTATGTACGGGGAGTATCGGGGGCATCACAGAGGCCTTCTGCTCGGGGGCTTCTGCCTCTGTGAGGACAAAGGCCACAGATCGATAGCACCAGGATCAGTAGCCACATTCTCATACACAGGGAACAAAAGATCAAACGTATTTTTTTTTAAAAGCATCTTCCATATGATGGAAACAAAACAGAATACAGCTCTAGACATGGAGAATGTGAAATCTGTGACCAAGTATCAAGCTTACATGTGGTATGTTTTAAATATTTTCCTATCAACTATTAAACGCTAAAGGCTGAAGGGCGACAGCCGTCGAGGATGGATTCAAATCCCGACCCTGGGACAGCCTGGCTGCGTGACTGTGTGAACAACGCGGGCCGGTGCCATGAGGCTACGCACCACCACGCTGAGCCGGGGCGCAGCTGTCAGCAAGGTCAGCAGAGCTCGGCAGCGTGGAGGAAGCACAAGACTCTGAGACTTCTCCTGGCCGCAGTGCCCTCTCCAGTGACCCCACGGGCTCAGCCAGTCTTCCCTTCCTGGGGTCTACGTAGCCCGAGACCTGGCCTGCTCCCGCCCGCCCCCGCCTTGGTGTGCTATCCTTACTTCTCTTTCTCTTTAGTTTGAGAAATTGAAAAAATCATCAGTACAAAAATCATGAAAGACCTCAATTTCTATTAAAATTGTCCTATTTGCCTTCAAGCTTTTTATTAAACACAGAAAACAAGTCCCCTCTCCTCCTCTATTCCCTAAAAGGTGCACACAAGGACCCCTACAGGAGCCTGGTTTACACGCTGCTGTGCACACAGGCCCCCATGGCACACGCACAGAACTGCCCTGCCTTCCCCGAGCACCGGGCACCAGGCCCCGGCGCCATCCTCTTCAGCCTACAGCTCAAGAGGCCCTCACACAGCTGCTGGCGTGCTCACGAATCCTCCCCACACCTTTCCACCCCTTTACCTCATGCACCTGTTTGCTCCTCCCTCAAACTCTGATCAGGTAAGGATTTTGGCTTCTTTGTTTTGGGGGCACCCTATACGTCCCTGTGGTACTCAGCAGAGCGTAAAGTACCCGCCTCACTTTATTAAAGTCGTCCTTGCCCATGAGCTCCCGAGGACAGTGCATTCAACAGCGCCTGGTCTCTGCAGAGGGATTCTTAGAAAACCACCAAAGAGCAACCAGGCTCTGTGGGCGTTGGGCCACACAGCCCTACTCTGAACATCCCCTAGCCTTCCTACCCCCACCAGCATCCTTCATGCTCCCTGCTGCTAAGATTCACTCCTGGTTACCATTAGCAAGTCAACTACTTTCTGAAAAGCTGACCATCATTTAGATTTCAGTACCTCCCAGAGAAATTTACTTCCCAAAATGTATATTTAGGTGACTTCCCTGTTCAGCCACTAGAAATACTCCAACATCCTCCAATTTCACTCAGAAGAAAATTAAGACGCTTTACTCTGGTCCCCAAAGGCCCAACATGAAATACCTCCCCAGGCCCCCTATCTCATCTAGTACTTTTCTCCCTGACAGACAAACCCACCACAGTGATCTCTTCCAGATTGTACTGGGTGACTGAGGAGTGGGAAGATCCCCCAAGTACCACCACTTCCTTCCCCAGTTGTGCTAGGCCACCTCCCAGTAAGGGACACTGACAAGTTTGCCGAGAAGAGGTATCAGAACCCGCGAAGTGCCCCTGCCCTGCTCCATGGAGGCCTTGCTCCTTGCAGCGCACAGCCCACAGCCAGCGCTTGCCCAGGACTCAGCTCCTCAGGTCCTGCCCCACACCTGCCAACTACAGGGTATGATCAGTAAGGTCCCTGGGTGGTACAAGGCGGGATTTTCAGAGATACCGCACAGAGTCACTCCAGTACACAAAGCACCACCAAATGTGAGAGCTGACGCTAACAAGAGAACTTGTTTCGTACCTGATGCAACAATGGTGCTCGCCCACAGCGTATTTTCTATGCTGAGACTCTCATGAATGGGTGGGTCGCAGTCTTCCTGTTCACAGAGAAGGGGAAAAATGGCAAGTTAGCAACTTTTTTTTACTTCAGATATCTGCAGTGATAAAAACAAGTGTACAAGCTGGATTCAGGGAATGAGCAGTGAAATGGCAATGCAGAATAAAGGTGAAAAACAAGGGAATTTAGACGGAGGTCCTGGGAAGAGGGCAGAGCAGGGAGCACCAGGAATCTCTCCCCACCGGGCAATGACCGCACGGTAGAATCTGTCTGATGGGACTATCTGGGGACTGCAGAGTCGGCTGAAGGCTTGCAGCTGTCCAGGAGAAGTAGTCAGTTTGGGTCTCTTCTAGCTCCCAGCACAGAGCAGCTACCCAGCCGTGTGGCAGGCAGCCGTGCACGTGCTTCTGGGGCAGCCTGCAGACGCCAGGTAGGCAAGAAGCACCCCGTCCTCCAAAGAGCAGGGGTCTAAGTTCTGACCGCCGCCGGCTGCTTCTGATCACACAGGTGCAGACACAGAGCCTGGCGGCCGTTGCTGTCGGCCCTCCAGCTCCAGTGACTCCAAGGGCATTAGAAGGGCGAGGGCCCCCCTGTCCCCCTTCTGGGAGCCAGACATTAAACACTAGAACATTCTAAAACAACTGCATATATGGAAAAAAACCACAAAGTGACTGTGGGTGCCCAAGAAAAAGCTCAGAAAAGACCTGAAAAGACATTAAATGTACATCTCAGACTGATAACCTAGCACAGAGACAGTCTATAATAATAAAAAATAAGTAAATCAATCAATAAATATAATGACTAAAACCCCAGCAAGCCCGGAAGAAGGGTGAGAATGGACTTCTAGAGTTACATCATTATACTTAAAAAAAAAAAGTGTTCAACAATAACAAGGCATTTAAAAAAAAAAAAGTATGGCCCATTTATTTATTTATTTTAAAGATTTTATTTATTTATTTGAGAGAGAGAGTGAGAGACAGCATGAGAGGAGAGAGGGTCAGAGGGAGAAGCAGACTCCCTGCTGAGCAGGGAGCCAGATGTGGGACTCGATCCAGGGACTCTGGGATCATGACCTGAGCCGAAGGCAGTCGCTTAACCAACTGGGCCACCCAGGCGCCCAGTATGGCCCATTTAAAGGAAAATTATAAATCAACAGAAATAACCCCTGAAAAAGACCTGATGTTAGATATACTAGACAAAGACTTTAAAAGGAAGTTATTAAGGATGTTTAAAGAAATGAAGATGTGAAGAATTCCAAGAAAACAATGTGTGAACGGAACGTAAATATGAAGACAGAAAACCTAAACAGAAACCAGAAGAAAGTCAAGAGCTGAAAAGTACGATGACTGAAATGAAAATTTCCCTAAAGAGATTCAAGGCAGATCTAACCACGCAGAAGAATCAGCAAACCTGAACACAGAACAATGGAAATGACCAAGTCTGGGAAACAGAATGAAAACAGGTGGAGGAAAATTGAAAGGGTCTGACGGAGTGCAGGACACCAAGGTCCAAACCAATATATGTATTGTGGGAGTCCCAGAAGTGGAAGACAGAGTGAAAAGGGCAGAGAGAATATGTGAAGAAGTAATGGATGAAAACACCCCAAATCTGATGAAAGACATGCATGTAAACAGTGAAGAAGCTCAAGCAAATCCAAGGAAGATGAACTCAAAGAGACCCACATAGAGACACATTATAATATATAACAAAGACAAGGACTCCCAAGGTGGTTCAGTCATTAGGTGTCTGACTTTTGTTTCGACTTAGGTCATGACCTCAGGGTTGTGAGACTGACCCCCACACTGGACTCCACGATCGGTGCGGAGTCTGCTTGAGATTCTCTCGTTCTCCCTCTGTCCCTCCCCATCACATGTTCTCTATCTCTTTCTCGAAAATAAATAAATAGGGTAGCTCTATTTTTAATTTTTTGAGGCACCTCCACACTGTTTTCCAAAGTGGCTGTACCAACTTGCATTCCCACCAACAGTGTAAGAGGGTTCCCCTTTCTCCACAACCTCTCCAACATTTGTTGTTTCTTGCCTTGTCAATTTTTGCCATTCTAACTGGTGTAAGGTGGTATCTTAATGTGGATTTGATTTAAATTTCCCTGATGGCTAATGATGATGAACATTTTTTCATGTGTCTGTTAGCCATTTGTATGTCTTCTTCAGAGAAGTGTCTGTTCATGTCTATTGCCCATTTTTTGACTTATTTGTTTTTTGGGTGTCGAGTTTGAGAAGTTCTTTACAGATCTTGGAAATCAGCGCTTTGTCTGTAGTGTCATTTGCAAATATCTTCTCCCATTCCGTGGGCTGCCTCTTTGTTTTGTTGACTGTTTCCTTTGCTGTGCAGAAGCTTTTTATCTTGATGAAGTCCCAATAGTTCATTTTTGCTTCTGTTTCACTCGTCTTTGGAGATGTATCTTGAAAGAAGTTGTGTGGCCAATGGCAAAGAGGTTACTGCCTATGTTCTCCTCTAGGATTTTGATGGATTCCTGTTTCACATTAGCTACCCTATGACCCAGCAATTGCACTACTGGGTATTTACCCCAAAGACACAGATGTAGTGAAAAGGGCCATATGCACCCCAATGTTCACAGCAGCAATGTCTGCAATAGCCAAACTGTGGAAAGAGCCGAGATGCCCATCAACAGATGAATGGATAAAGAAGACGTGGTCCATATATACAATGGAATATTACTCAGCCATCAGAAAGGATGAATACTCAACTTTTACATCAACATGGATGGGACTAGAGGAGATTATGCTAAGTGAAAAAGGTCAAGCAGAGAAAGTCAATTATCATATGGTTTCACCCATTTGTGGAATGTAAGGAATAGCATAGAGGACATTAGGAGAAGGAAGGGAAAAATAAAGGGCAGGGGGAATCAGAGGGGGAGACGAACCATGAGAGATTATGGACTCTGAGAAACAAACTGAGGGTTTTAGAGGGGAGGGGAGTGGCGGGATGGGTGAGCCCGGTGATGGGTATTAAGGAGGGCACGTACTGCATGAAGCACTGGGTGTTATATGAAAACAATGAAATCGTGGATCACTACCTCAAAAACTAATGATGTATTATTGTATGGTGACTAACATAACATAACAAAATAAAATTTTTAAAAATTAAATAAATAAATAAATCTTTAAAAAAAAAAGACAAAGACAAAAAGAGAATCTTGAAAGCAGTATGAAAGAAGCAAACCATCATATACAAGGGATCCCCAATAAGGTTATATGCAGGTTTTTCATTAGAAATACTGGAGACTAGAAGGCAGTGTGCTGATATATTCAAAGTGCTCAAAAACAAACAAACAAACATCCATGTCAGCCAAGAATCCCATATCCAGCAAAACTGTCCTTCAAAAATATGGGTAAAATCAAGACATTCCCAGAAAAACAAAAGCTTAGAGAGTATGTGTCCACCAGACCTTTCCTGCAAGAACTGTTCAAGGGAGTCCTGCAGGTGAAAGAAAAGGATACAGTAACTCAAAACTACATGGGGAAATAAAGATCTCAAGAACGGTGAGTATACAGGCAATTATAAAAGGAAATATTATTGTAACAATGGTTTGTAACTGCACTTTTTTTTTTTTAAAGATTTTATTTATTTATTTGACAGAGAGAGACACAGTGAGAGAGGGAACACAAGCAGGGGGAGTGGGAGAGGGAGAAGCAGGCTCCCCGCAGAGCAGGAAGCCCGATGCGGGACTCGATCCCAGGACCCTGGGATCATGACCTGAGCTGAAGGCAGACGCTTAACCAGCTGAGCCACCCAGGTGCCCTGTAACTGCACTTTTTGTTCTCTACATGACTTAAGAGACTAATACTTTAAACCTAGTATTGTTGTAATTTTGGTTTGTTAACTCCAAATCTTGTTTTCTACATTAAGAGGCTGGTGCATTTAAAACAAGTATTTGTTTACATTTTTAGGCACAGAACGTATAAAGATGTAATTGTGTGACATCAGCAAACAAAAGGGGTGGGGATAGAGCTATAAAGGAGCACAGCCTTTGTATGTTATTCAACTTAAGCTGGTATAAATTCAAATTAGAGTGTTATATCTTTAGAATGTTGAATGTAATTCCCATGGTAACCACAAAGAAAACAGCTATAGAATATACACAAAAGGAAATGAGAAATTTAAACATTTCCCTACAAAAACCAACTAAACACAATAGAAGACAGTAGTGTAGGAAATGAGGGACAAAAAAAAAAAAAATATATATATATATATATATATATAAGGCACACAAAAAATTGAACAAAGACAGAAGTTAAGTCCCTTCTTTTCAGTCATTACTTCAAATATCAATGGATTAAACTCAACAATCAGAAGACAGAGATTGGCACAATGGATAAAAATACATGACCCAACTGTATACTGTCTACATGCTGAGACTCACTTTAGATCCAAAGACACCAAGAGGTTGCAAGTGAAAGCACAGGAAGAGATATTGCATGGGAATAGTAAGCAGAAATGAGCAGCTGAGGCTATACTAATACCAGAAAAATTAAATGTCAAACCAAAAAAGGTTATAAGAGACATTATATGTTCATTAAATGTTCAATAAGGCAGGAAGATATGATTATAAACAACTGTGCATCTAATGAAAATCTGTAAAAATAGACGAAGCAAAAACTGATAGAATTTAAGGGAGAAACAGCTCAACAGTAATAGAGACCTTAATATTCCACTCACAATTATGGCTAGAACAACCAGACAGAAGTAAGTAAAGAGAAAACTTGGCAAAATAAGCCAACTAGATCTAACAGACATGCAGAACATTCCACCCCAAAACAGCATACACATTCTTCCCAAGCACACATGGGACATTTCCCAGGACAGACCTTATGTTACAAATTAAGCCCCAACAGATCATCATACAAAGTATCTACTCCAACCACAATGAGATAAAGATAGAAATCAATAACAGAAAATTCACAGAACTGTGGAAATTCAACAACACTGTTAAACAACCAATGGATTACGAAGAAATCACAAAGGGAATTAAAAGATACTTAGAGACAAATGGTAAAA